TTTAAACTGTACAGTGTCTTTTTTTGTATAGTTAACACACTACCGAATGTGTCTTTAGATAGCCCTGTCCTGGTGGTATTTTCAATAGCCACTAACCTTGCCTGGTACAGTATGGGGGTTGTAAATTGGCATGGAAATTTAAAGCAGGTTCTTGTTGGTGCACAGCACAAATTAGTTATATATGGGGATGGTAGTTTTTTATCTTCAGTTGTTTCTGATGCAGCTTATACGAAATAATTGTTGTTCTGTTAACTGAATACCACTCTGTAACTGCAAAAAAAAAAAAGTTGCAGCTGTTTTGTTGACATTCTGAATGCTTCTAAGTAAATACAATTTTAAAAAAAGATTGTGGGTTCAATCCCTGGTTGGAGTGTGTATAGGGAAAGCTGGCCCTTCAGTCCCTCATCCCGAGGCCAGACAATTCAGTTCTTTCCCTTATCCTGGCATCTTTGGAGCTCCTGCCCCAGCACTGGAGCTCAGAACGAGTGAATCTGAGTAAGTTTGTGTGTGGGCCCTTTAAGAGGAATGCCTGGTTATCACAATATCATTGACTATATTCCCTATACTGTACTTTATATCCCCGTTACTATTCTGTAACTATCAATTTATACTTCTTAATCCCTTCACCTCTTTCACCCAGTCCTCCAACCCTCCTCTCCTCTGCCAATCACCAGTCTGGTCTCTGTGTCTATGAGTCTTGTTTCAATTTAGTTTGTTCATTTATTTTGTCCTTTAGATTCCACATAGAAGTGAAATCATATGGCACTTGTCTTTCTCTGACTGACTTATTTTACTTAGCATCATATCCTCTAAGTCCATCCATGCTGTCGAAAATGGTACACCTGAAACCAATACAAAATAATACTGAAAGTAAACTAGTTGAAAAATTAAAAAATAGCCCTAACCGGTTTGGCTGAGTGGATAGAGTGTCAGCCTGCGGACTCAAGGGTCCCAGGTTCAATTCCGGTCAAGGGCATGTACCTTGGTTGCGGGCACATCCCCAGTAGGAAGTGTGCAGGAGGCAGCTGATCGATGTTTCTCTCTCATTGATGTTTCTAACTCTCTATCCTTCTCCCTTCCTCTCTGTAAAAAATCAATAAAATATTTTTTTTTTTAAATAAATTAATTAAAGGAATAAAAAAGAAAGAAAGAGGAATGCCTGGGACTCCAGCAGTCCTCTGGCTCACTCAGCTGCAACTCTGCTGGTATTTCCAGCCAGAAGTTATGTGGACTTCCCTTCCTGGCACTAGAACCCTGGGCTGGAGCGCCTGGTGTGGGGCGGGGACTCCTCACTCCTCAGGGGTAACCTCCGCAGCTAAAATATCCCTCCTGAGTTTTAATCACCACACGTGGGTATGGGACCAGCCCTCTGTGAGTCTCCACCCCTCCTAACAGTCTCAACGTGGCTCCTTTTTTAATAACCTTAGTTATAGGATAGATTTCAGGCGATTCTGAATGATGGTTACCCCGCAGTTTAGGGGTAAGTTTGATGTGGTTGTGGGAGGATGCGAGCACCAGGTTTACCCACTCCACTATCTTGCCCAGAAGCCTGTAGTAATGTGTTTTTTAAAGGAAATTTGTTATAATACCTCTCTAAAAACTGTATAACCACAAGAAGGGAAACTCTAGATTTGTTTATTTTTAAATTTAATTGTTTATTATTATTATTACTAGAGGCCTGATGCACGAAATTCGTGCAAGAGTAGGCCTTCCTTCCCCCGGCTGCTGGCACCTGGGACCCGGGCTGGCTTCCCTCCAGTCCCAGCTTTGTCCAGAAGGAGGACGTCCGGAATGACGTCCAGTCTAATTATCATATTACCTTTTTATTATTATAGATTATTATTATTATTGTTTGTTTTTTTGGGAAACTCTAGATTTGGAATCTGACTTAGCAAGATAATACACAGTATGATAAATTTTAACAAGATCAGAGAGTTCCTAAATAGTGGGTTATCGTATAAGGTCAGTGTATAAATGTAACTTCCTATAACTTTAGGCTATAATTTCTGGAGATAGAAGTAGCTTATTACAGAGCCTACCTGACTTTATCCCACTTAAAAATTTTTTAAAAATATGTTTTTTATTGATTTCAGAGACAGGAAGAAAGAGGGAGAGAGGATGAGAAACATTAGTGATGAAGAAAGAATCATTGATCGGCTGCCGCCTGCACTCTCCCTACTGGGGATTGAGCCTGCAAACCAGGCATGTGCCCTGACCAGGAATGGAACCGTGACCTCCTGGTTCATAGGATGACATTCAACCACTGAGCTCACTGGCCAGGCTTTATCCCACTTTTTAAAATGAAATGACAGTTACCTTTACTAGAGACAGAGCATGCATAAACCAATCTCAAAAAACCCACTTCTGCCCTAGCTGGTTTTGCTCAGTGGATAGAGCATCAGCCTTCAGACTAAAGGGTCCTGGGTTCAATTCTGATCAAGAGCACATGCCCGGGTTTCGGGCTCAATCCCCAGTGTGAGGCGATCAGTGATTCTCTCTCATCATTTTATGTCTCTCTCCCTCTCCTTTCCTTTTTGAAATCAATAAAAAAATAAAATACACTTCTCCTTGGCCAAATGTAGGTCCAATGTGCCCTGAAGTCTATCATGATACATAGTATCTGCACCTGTTCCTTGTCTATCCTGCATTGAAAGAACTCCTATCTACAAAGTTCTCTTGCTACGTTTCCCCCTGGATAGCACCATGGCTTGTAACTGATTTGAACCAAGGATGAATTACAGTCTTCTTAAATTTATAATAATTTTTATGCCACATCTGTTACTATAGATGCCGGAAGCCGGTCCATCCTTGCTGCTTGACACAGTCGCTGCAGGAAAGAAACATCTGCACAGCATATGTTTCAAGGGACCTGGCATATATAGCATATTGTTCTTAATATGTTTGCTCTCCTTAGCGCCCATTCCTTCTTCGCCAACTCCGTCCACACCTTTGGGGACCCCTGGACCTGCTGGGGTTGGACCCCAGCATATAGAGTCTTCAAAATTACTATTTTCAGTGGCTGCATCATATTCCACATGTTCTCAAATGCCTTTCTTTCACAGAATCCATCTCACTTTACAATTGCACACTGAATGGTGTGGCTGTGTGTTTAATGTGCATCTCATAATTTGACTGTAAGTTCCCTAAGGGCAGGGCCATGCAAGTTTTGGCTCATGGTTGAATCACCAACAGCATATATATTGTCCTAATATATATTATATGTTATTATAAATATACTAGAGGCCCAGTGCACAAAAATTTGTGCACTCGGGGGTAGGGGGTCCCTCAGCCCAGCCTGTGCCCTCTCGCAGTCTGGGACCCCTCGGGGGTGACCACTTGCTGGCTTAGGCCTGCTCCCCGGGGGATTGGGCCTAAGATGGCAATCAGACATCCCTCTGGCAGCCCGGCAGCCCT